GAGCAGATGCGGCGGAGGCGAAGGAATTGGGAATAGGGGATAGCATTAAGTGGATGGGGGTCTCCATTTGCCCCTGTCTGGGGGAAATCAGTAGCAGAGATGGGAACAGAGGGCTAACTGCCAAAAACCAGCTCCCAAAACATTGCTTCCAACCGTCTTAACTTTCCTGCCTCCCTTTTCACTGTGTTGCCCCCACTCCATGAGCTCTCCGCTGAAAGCCTGATCACCATATGGGTCTTCATTGCTGTATGGATTCAGCCTCCAGTAATGCTCTCCATCAACCAGCAGCTTCAGGTCAGGCAAGGCTCCTGATTGGATGAGAAACTTACCAGGCAGCACGTAACTACCAGATTGGTCCTTGTTCCAACAAGCCCTCTCACTTTTGTGCACAACAAGTCCATCACTCCTGATCTGCTCCAACAATTAGCGCACAGAACACTAAATCCCAGCTCAAAACATAGATTAAAATGCACTTGCACTGCCAGCTATAAATCACATAATTCACATTTAACATGACAAAGAAAGCAATAATTATTCATCTATAGCCAAATATGATATTTAAATGCACTTTTATTGGCAACTACTAATAATTATTACATTACAAGATTGCAGTCAAATCATTCAAACTAACAATATGTTCAAAATTTTCAGATAATTACTTAGAATGTGGTTTTCAACAGAGCGTGAGTTTTACTGTAGTCAGTTCAAGCTTAGAGAGATGCAGGGATCTGCCATACCTAGATTGTCTTTGATGCACATAGGTATTGGGACTGGGATCGAAACTCCTGGGCATTTTATAATATTAAAAAAATGGATTGACACAATGGCTGCACTGCCAAACAGCATTTGAACAATGGTTTTAGACAAAATAGTCAAAAAACTTTGATCAGTTTTACCTTCATAGGAGGTGGTTGCTGTCGGAATGTGGCCGTTTGCCGAGCATCCTGTTTCCTGGCCACCTGAAGTTGCTGGGCAGCGGCAGCAGCTGCTGCAAGTGACTCTGGGACAGGTGGTTCCTGAGGTTCTGTCTGCCATTCTGCTTTCTGCTTCTCAAAGTAACTAAACAGCAAAAACATTGAAATCCTTACTGACCACCATCAATGGTCCTTGGGTATCGTTGGTGGTTAGTGAAAGACTTACATATTTGCAATCATCTAAACATTCAGGCTGTTATTAATTCTGGGCTGGTTTTCCTCCATACTACATTATTTAGCATTTCATCTTCCATACATTAAATGTTCAAAAGCATTAGGCATATTTCTACCTAAAGTCAAATTCACTGAACCCTTAAAGACACCAACTCTTGCTGAAATATACTTCTATGGCAACTAGCAATCCCCCAGTACTACAATCAAAAGACCCTTCAACAAACAACAACTTTTGTACGTATGTATATTGCCTCAACGTCCTAAGGGAAGCCTCGAAAGTGAATGCTGAGAACCTATTCAGATGGAATAAAACTGTACCTGATCCAGGCTTTGTCCAAATTCTCTGTGTGTGCTTATCATCATAAACAGCATTCAAAAGCAGGAACCCTAACTATCCCCTGCCTTATGCCCCATGCACAGAGGTCAGTTAAAATATTCCAAGTGTTATCCTGCTTGCGATTAGCTAATTCTGGACCAGGAAAGTGATGTGGGAGTTTCTTATCCACGCAGCTTCGTATCATATTTGGCAAGACAACATACCAAGCTATTAAGAAGCAGTTGAGGCAGATTTTGGACAAATGCTACGACTGTTATGACACAGCACAGTAAAACTAGCTTTCTACTTCTACTCATTCATTGCCATTGCACTCTACCTAAAAGTACTTCCAATAATGTTCTAAACATAGAAAAACACTCCTATATATTTCACAGAAGCAGTGAACGGCTGTGGTGTATGTACAAGTGGACACACAGGACCCAAGACTAATCTAATCCCACTATAGCAGATAAAATTTGAATTCAATAAAATCAGAAATTAAAAAGCAGGCCAATTGGTGGCATTGTAATAGCTATCAATTATTGTTATAATCATCTGCTTCACTAATGTCCTTAAGGAAGGAAGTCTGCCATCCTTATCTGGTCTGGCCTACATGTAACTCCAGATCCACGGCAGTGGTCAACTATCAGCTGCCCTCAAAATAAAGTCTTATCATGCCACTACAAATAAAACACTCGAAACAAAGGAATGAAACCTGATGGACCAGCCAGCTTTAACCAGAACATGAGAAATAATAAACACAGCTCTATCAACCTGCAAAGTCCTCCTTACAAATATCTAGAGTTTATTCCAAAATTGAGAAAAGTGTCCTACAGACTAGTCAAGCAATAGCCTGATATAATCATACTCACAAGATCATACCTTACAATGTCCCAGAAACCACCATCACTGGCTATGTCCTGTCCCATAAGCAGGTCAGAACCACCACACTATACAGTCAGGAAGGAATTGCCTCATGGTCCTCAACTCCAGCCCTGATAAAACCTCGTGGCACCAAATCAAACATGAGCAAAGATGACTACTGCTGATTACCAATGACTGCACCCATCCCTCCCCCGCCTCTACTAATGAATCTCTACTTCCTCCATGTTGAGCGCCACTTGGAGAAAGCACTGAGAGCAGCAAGTGCATAGAATGTACTCTGGGTGGACTTCAACGCCCATTACCAAGAGTGACTCAGTAACACCATTACTGATGGAGTTGGCTGAGATATAAAGGACATAGCCACTAAATTTGGACTGTAGCAGGTGGTAAGGAACTAACAAGGGGAATAAGTCTTCTTGCCCCTGTCCTCACCAATCTAACTACTGAAAGGTGCAAATGTCCTCGACAGTGTCAGTAGGAGCGATCACCATGCAATCCTTGTGGAAACAAAGTCCCTTCTCACACTGAGGATACCTCTTTCAGGTTGTGTGGTACTACCACAAGCTCAATGTACATACATCAAACTGATCTAGCAACTAAAATTAGGGCATCCACAAGGTAAGCCAAAAGCAGCAGCAGAATTGTATCCAAACAAAATCTATAAACTCAGTCTGGCATACCTCCCATTCCATGATTACCATTGAGCGAGTGGTTCATCTCTGGTTCAGGAGAGGACAGAGTGACTGTCCTTACCATCAAGGCAACATTTGAACAAATGTGGCATCAGGGAGCCCTGGCATAATTGAAATCAATGGGAATCAGGAGAAAAACATTCCACTAGTTGGAGTCATTCCTAGCCCAAAGGAAATTGGCTGTTGGAGGTCAGTCATTTCAGCTCTAGGACATCAGTGCAGAACCTGGACTATATCCAGGCTTGAGTTGTCAAGTGGCAAATAACATTCATGCTACACAATGGTCAGGCAATGACGATCTCCAACAATAGAGAATCTAACCATTGACCCTTGACAATCAATACCATTACAACACTGAATCACCCACAGTCAACTTCCTGATGGTTACTATAGACCAGAAACTGAGCTGGACCAACTATACAAATACTGTGGTTACAACAGTAGGTCAGAGGCTGATAATTCTTCGGTGAATAACTCACCTTCAGACTCTCCAAAGACAGTCCACTACCTACAAAGCACAAGTCTGGAGTGTGACGGAGTATTCCCCATTTGCCTGGATGATTACATCTCTACCAATATTCAAGAAGCCTGACACCATTCACCATATTGTCAAACATTCAATACTTTCACCTTTGATGCACAGTAGCAACGTGTACCACCTGCAAGATGCAATTCCAAAATTCACAGTACTTTCCAAGGTCACAACCATAGCCAACTGGAAGACCAAGGACTTAAGGGCAAAACTAGGTTAGAATTTTGCTATAATTTGGCTAAGTGTCAATTTTAGTAAGTTTCATGGAGGGTTTCTCTCACCTGTCTTCCCAACCTCACTTAATTACCTATGTACCATTCCCCATGGTAGTCCACTTGTCATAGCTTCACAATCACCACAGCTGCAGGGACCTCCTTAGATTCACAGCACCATATTCAAAATGCAGTTGTACACCAGGTCAACCAGCTGGTAGTCTGGAGCACCCCTGCACCAATCTCTGTCAACTGGCTCAGAGGTTTTAGACAAAGGGAAACCAGCATCCTACTTTGTCAATGGAAACCTCACAGTCCTGGTGGGATGAAATGATGCTGAGGAGGGCTATCCTCTTCCCTCAGAGCCAATGACCTTCTCTGCTCTGTGAGGGTAAGTGCCATCAGCTTCTCTCTGCTACTTCAACACAAACTGTATCTCTGCTACTGCACCCACCACCCCCAAGGCTCATAGTCTAGCACTCTCGCTATCAAATACATCATCTTCCCTCACTCTCACCCACCAAACTCACCCCACCTATTAACCCTGCATGGTTTCTGTACTGCCTAGTCGCTCAGAACATGTCATCACCCACACCAACACATGTAGAAGCAGCAGGCAGGTTTGTTGGGCATTGGGTAAACTGACTTGAAGGCTGGAGGACTCCAAATGCTGTTTGCACCATGCTGCCTCTGGCATGAGAGTGTCTGGCTGCCCCCGTGGACAAGTTGGTTGGCTGTCATTGGGAGGTAGGTCCAGCACAGTCAGCATCTGCTGGCTATTAGCACAGACCTGCACGTCTTCATTTCAGCCAGTGGTGCTCAGCACCAACAGTAAGGTGACAGGAAAACAGGGAACCTTGACCCCTGTCCAGGTACCCGTTCCGCACATGGAGACAGGGAGGAGGAGATCTGGGAATTCAAGCTGCCTCCAGGCCTTAAGCACATAGCACGTCTGACCCCTCTGGAAACAAATACCCTTGGGACCGCCTGACCGAAACCCGAAGGCTAATGGGCTACACTCAAGGGCAAGCACATTCCACATCAGCTACATACTGGTACTCCACTGAGACATAGTAGGAGGGCAGTTGGTGGCATGAGTGTCGCTTCATTATAACATTTGTAAAGTTATGCCCACTTTTCATCATCAGCTATGTGAGCAAATGTCTTTCTAGCCACAACTACTAGATTAAAGGTTCAGAGCCAGCCTTAGTGCTGAAAGAGGTTTTATGGTCCAATGTGTAAGGTGAGCAGCTCCTGCACGATGTGCAGCTTACAGAACATTGGAAGGTCACTTGTTACTTTGGCAACCAGGGTTAATCTTTACAGGATGCAATATATTGCTTGTCATCACAGCCTTTAATGAGATTGATGACTGATGTTGCATAATGTGGTCAAGTGTGCTTGGGGCCAGAATGTGGACACTACACAGTAGGACAGTGCCTAAGGTTCATACACAGAGTTTCATACTCGCAGGTCTCTTTCACCTGCACTGTATTGGTATCTGTTTAACGCTACTGTCCTTTGAAGGGTTTCACATTGCACAAAAGTGGAGTTCCTTTTTTCACAGAATGAAACACTTACCCCGAACACACTAGGTGTGCAGTCATTTCCTTCTTCATTGTGCACTTTCTATTTACATCACGATGTTAAAAAACCAAAATTACACTTCACACAGTGAGTCTCAGACATAGCTTCTCATTCTGGGACATTTCTTACCAAAATGTTCATATTTGCTGCTTTATAACCCTCCCCATCAACCCCATTGGTTTTGATGTTCCCCACATTCCACACAACCCGTTTATTTCACTGTTCCTGTCCGTACTTTACCCCCAAGCCCCATATATAATATAGTTGTGTACTGTGCCCCCATCAAATCCAGGATGGCCGTGAATGAGACAGATCACCCCAACCACCCCCTCCATTTACCTCTTTTCTTCCCATACTCTATTGTCTCATTTCCTTACAAACTGAATTGTATTCCTCCAAAATCACAAGTTATTCCTTCTGCATCCCACCACACTGATTCCAATCCCTACAATTGAGTTCCCCAGCTTCCCTCTAAACAGCAGTGCCCCCCAATACAATCTATTCTTAACTTTTAGTGGATAGACTCCCAGGACTGACTGTGGCCCACTCCGTTCACAGACTTGGATGGACAGCTCCAACTGAAGACTGACCTCTGTGCCACTCCAGACTGACATACCATGGATCCCAGGGCTGGTTGCTCTGACCCATAGCATTGACTGTGGCCCACTCCCTGGACTGTAGACGTACAGACTGCCTGCCAATGCTCACAGCATTCAGTGTCTGGGAAGATTCTGCCCATTATTACAAACAAAACCTTGTGTGAATAATAAAGGGTTGTTAATCAGTAGACTGACAATGTTTTGTTCTAACAAGGAAACATATTTTACAGAAAATCTGCAAACACTAGCCATTCTTGGTATATCTAAAGAGAGGTCATCAACTGAAAAGAGATGTTTGTGCTGTGGGCCCATGTCCCACTTAGATTAGATTCACCAAATCTCTTTCACCTGCAACAAACAGATGAAACAATACGAGCCTAAAAGTTGTACACCCCTCAGATCATAGATACTTACTCCAGAGAAAGCTTTTCTTCTTCCTCACACAACTCTGGTAGCCTTTGCAAACCCAAAGTCATTCTTAAAGCATCCACATGTTCTTTAAGAGGTTTGTATTCCTCATGCAAGCGTCTTGTAGATTCAAGCAACTTATTTAAATCATTTTCAGATTGTTTTATTGTGTTTTCCATCTACAAAGGAGGAGAGAATCTATTACTTAAGTAAACAAATCAACTTCTTTCCCTCCACCCCCTAATTCTCTCAGGTATGAAACAAACGAATGTCGTGATGTATATCTCTACAAAGTGCTGTGTCTCTGCCTTACCTGCTATCTAAACATACATTTTCCAGCAGGGTCATTAGATAGCCATCCTCTAAAACACCAAGACAGTAGACCAAATCTCAACACTTTTACCACAGCCTAAGATGACATCCATTGTCATCAGAATGTAGAATGACAGTTAGTGTTAGGTGCTTTCTCATTTGGCATGGCCCATACTCCGTCATGCTTTCTGACCGTCAATCCTTGGGCTGGATTGTCTTCTTCTGACATTGAGAGAACTCATGATGGCCCCCCAGACTGGAGGACTGGGCAGAATTTTAACCTCACCAAGCTTACCCAATGGATAGCAATTTCCCTAGGGCAGAAAAAGTGGCAGATCAGAACCTGATTTTCATGTAAAGTGACATTAGGATCACCATTTAAATACTAGCTGCAAATGAGATTTATTCTGACATTGGTATCTTTGTTGAGATGAGTGGTTTCTTGAAGTTTCTGAGAGCTGTGAGAGGTAAGTTAAATTTGTGAAGCTTGTGGAAGCCTGCTGTGAAGTCATCTAACAGGTAAGTTTAAAAAGGTATTACCAACTTCAAATGTCATAATGTAAAAGGTACAAGCTAAATTCGCCACAGTCTGACCAGACCATAGCGCTGCTGTCTCATCACAGAGAGATGACTTGTGGTGATTTAACCTGAGAGTCAATACACTTCAGGTGAAGGGCAGAGGTTGAGAAGGAGAGTCTTTCATGGTAACCTCAGCCAGTGTAGGACTGAATCCACACTGTTGGAATCACTCTGCACAACAAACCAGTCATCCAGCCAATCATGCTAACCTGAAAGCAGTGGGGTGGGGGGCAGAATCATAATGTAATGATGTGTGACAGTGTTCAAAGTACATGAAGATGAGGGGAAAATTGGCCCCTTAAATTTTCAAAATGGCTGGCAAAATTCATTCATGGGCGTACACAAGGAAAAGTCACCTCCATAAATAGAATTGATAGAATTGATGGAAGCTGCACTTCCTATTGTGACTGATACTCTCATATTTACTGCTGATGGGCTTATTGGTGAATAGTAAATAGGAGTGAAACAGCTTGTGTCTGCAGGAGAGCAAGCAGCTGGTAAAAGGTAGAAAGAAAGTGCATGAGTCAGAGAAGCCTAGACCAAGGCTAGAGGGGTAGGGGGCAACCTATTGACAGGCCCAGGGGATAGACCATCGGCTGGGTCAGAAAGGCTTTGCAGAGAGATGAAAAGGGTTGCAAATTAATGTGGAATCTCCATTGCAAGGCTGCATAAGTTCAAGCGTTGCGACAAGGGAAAAAATGCAATTGGTGCTACTACATGAAACATTGCTGTCAATTGCTAAATTTATCCAACCGTTTGCCCCCAAAAAATCAACAGGAATCCTTTGAAAAAAATTAAGACCCTTGGGGTATGATCAATTACATATGTTTTAATTGCAGGGATTGATCAAAAAACTCTGTTCTTATTCTGCGACTGACAAGTAAATTAACCACCATTGTGCATGTATTTCAGTGGTTAAAGTGCTCTTATGTATTCAAGAGTATTGTGAAGCCAATTTAAATGTTTCCTTTGTCCTGTGTGTTTACAGTTGATTTTAAGTCCAGAGACCTTGAGACCCAAAAAAGATAGAAAATATGCTAGACTTCTTTCATTGAAGCTCAACTAAGCAGTTGAAAAAGAAAAGGAGCACAAGGCAGGACATCAGATCAGGTAACTTCAAACACTCTATTGTACTGAGATCTGTTGAGTTCAGAAGATTAAAATGTCGAAATAGCAAAGTCAGTAGAACCTCTTGATGGGGGATTAGTTTTTGGTTCTGCCAACAATAGCTACTTTGTGGGACGGTGTATAAAATAAGGAATATTGAGGGCTTGTAAGAAATGAATTGCAATAATTGTGGGCAACTTAACCTTCATATAATTCGGGCAAATCATTTCAGCAAAGGTAGCCTGGAGGATCAGTTCACGAGGTGTATTCAAGACAGTTTCAGGAACAATTTGTTCCGGAATCAACTAGGGGCACGTAATAAGATTAACTTACATCTTGTACTAAACGGATCGTTTATGCAAGAAAAACTATAACATGAGAAAAGTTTGCATTTAATTTGAGGTTGAGAAATTTGGTCTGAAACAAGTGCCTTACCTTAACTACAGACAAGTGCAGTTAGCAAAGGTGGACTAAAAAAACAGATTAAGACAGGAAGATAATGGAAGACATTTAAGGAGATAATACATGACTCGCAAAAACATGTTCCATGCAGAAAAAAAGTTGTACTTAATGGATGTGATGAGGTCTCGCTGGCCTGTTGTAAAGCTGGGGAGAGCCCCGCATGGCCTTTTTCAGGAAGGCCTGCTGGATTAAGCATTGGTCAATCGGCAGGAAACAGCTAGTGGGGATAAGGGGTTCTTTTTCAGGTTGGCAGCCTGTGACCAATGGGGTTTCACAGGGATCAGTGCTAGGACAGCAACTATTTACAATATATATTAAGAAGTTGGAGGAAGGAAGCAAATGTACTGTAACCAAAAGTAGGTGGAAAGGCCGGCTGTGATAGGGATACAAACAGTTTACAGAGAGATACTGATAGGTTAAGTAAGTTGACAAAATGTTGGCAGATGGAGTATAATGTGGGAAAATGTGAAGTTGTTCATTTTGGAAGGGAGCACAAAATACAAAAAAAAACTACAGAAATCTGCAACACAAAGGGACTTGCAGATACTTGTACATGAAACACAGAAAGCTAGTACACAGATGCAGCAGGTAAACAGGAAGGCTAATGGAATGTTGTGCCTTATTTTAAAGGGGGTGGGAGTATAAGTGTAGGGAAGCATTACTGCAAATGTACAAGGTGCTGGCGAGACCACATCTGGAGTACTGTGAGCATTTTGGTCCCCTTGTTTAAGGAGAGATATCATTTTATTGCAGGTAGGAAGATTTACTCGGATGATCCCTGGTATGGAAGGATTGTCTTATCAGCAAAGGTTAAACAGGTGGGGACTACTCACTCGAGTTTAGGAGAATGAGAGATGATCTCACTGAAACGTATATGATTCTTAAGCGACTTGACGGGGTAAATGCTAAGAGGATGTTTCCCCTCATGGGAGAGTCTGGGTTCAGAGTGCAGAAGGTCGTAATAAAGGGGTGCTAATTTAAGACTGAGATGAGGAGGAATTTCTTTTCTCAGAGGGTTGAGAGCCTTTGGAACTCCTTGCCACAGAGACTGTGGGGGCAGATCCTTATGTCTATCTACGACGGAAATAAATTCTTGATCAGTCAGGAATCAAACTGCAGGAATATAGTTACAAGTAATGTTGATCGGCCATGATCCTATTGAATTGTGCAGCAGGCTCGAGATGCAAATGGCCTACTCCTTTCTATTTCTTATGGTCTTATAAGGATCAACCAATCACTGAGATGCAATAGTCTCACATAAATTCCAGGTTTGTATTTTAAATTTTCATTTTCTCCAGATTTCTTTTGTTCCAGTATCACCCACTGGCACAGGATGAACCTTCACTTTTTCTCCATAAAATGCTTTCTGTTGCCTCGATAATAAAGGAATTTTGTAGTTTGCCTTAGAATCAAACCGAGTGCCTCTTCACTTTGCTTTGTCTTAATGGTTTCGATACTCTGTTCCCAATGATCAAGGTGGTAAACTAACATTACACAAGATTGCAACTTAAATTTCAAATTCCAAACAAAATTAACAAGTCAAGGGAATACTCAATGATTGGCAGGGCACAAGGAAGCTCAGAGGAACAGAGGGACCTGGGTTATTTGTCCATTGATCCCTGAAGGTGGCAGAGAAAGCCAAGAACTGTGGATGCTGGAAATCAGAAACAAAAACAGAAATTGCTAGAAAAATGTTGCAGATTTGGCTGCACCTATAGAGAGAAAAAAAGAGTTAATGTTTCAGGTCCAGTGACCCTTCTTCAAAATTTATTACAGCTAGGTAAAGGTTGGCATATATGCTGAAGATGGGATGGGGGAAAGGGGACAGAGTAAACTATAGATGGAGGTGAAACCCAGAGAGAGAGTGAACAACAACTGGGCAGACAAAGGAAAGGGTAATGGTCAGCCTGGGAGAATCAATAGCTGCTAATGGGAATCATTAGTAGCTGACAATGGGTTGGTTGTGATAGCAGCTGAAGTAATGACAAGGCCTGGTGTGTGGGGTTTGCTGGAAGGTCACGAGAGAAGGTACTCAGGACTTACAATTATTGAACTCAATATTGAGTCCCGAAGGCTGCAGGGTCCTCAAGCAGAAAATGAGATGTTCTTCTTCCAACTTGCGCTGAGCTTTGCTGGAGCATTGTAGCAAACCCAAGACAGAGATGTTGGCAACAGGAAGCTCAGGGTCAATTTTGCAGACAGAACAAAGGTTTTCTGCAAAGTGGTTGCCTGAAGGTGGCAGGGCAGGTAAGAAGGCATATGGGCATTTATCAGTCATGGCATAGATTATAAGAACAAGGAGGTTTATGTTGGAGCTGTACAAAACTTTAGTTAGGCCCCAGCTGGAGTACCATGTGCAGTTCTGGTCACGGAAGGATGTGATTGCACAGGAAGAGATTCACCAGGATGTTGCCCAGGTTGAAGCATATTATTATGAAGAGAGGCTGGAAAAACTCAGATGGTTTTCTCTCGAGAAGAGAAGACTGAGATGCAACTTGATTGAAGTGTATAAGATTATAAGGGGCATGGACAGGGTATATAGAATGCATATGTATCCCTTAGTTGAAGGGTCAATAACGAAGGGGCATAATTTTAAGGTGAAAGGTAGGAGGTTTAAAGGGGATTTGAGGAAAATCAATTTCATCCATAGGGTGGTAGGAATCTGGAATGCGCTGCCTGGGAGGAGCGAGGTGAGTTGAGGTGGGAAACCTTACAAACTTTAAAAAATATTTGGATGTGCACTTGAAATATCAGAACATTCAAGGCTATAGTCTAGTGCTGGAAAGCGGGACTAGTATAAATTTAGTGTCGTTTTTGTCAGTGCAGACTTCTTCTATATTGTATGATGATAGTAAAGAAACAATTGAAACATAATAGTGACAGTAATAGTAATTCAGATTTTACAGTTCTTACTGGATTTTAATTTCCCTCTGGAAACTAGAAATTAACAGCATAATTATACGCTTGATCTTTGTACTCTGACATGGCAACTATTTACCTCTGTCACTGTAACTTCTGATGCTGTGGAAGTCACTTAGCTGGATTTGACTCTCTGAAGCCTTCACAGAAACTCATCATTTCGAAACCAAATCAATGGAGAACTTAACCAGAACTAGATAAACCAACTCAACAGTCTGTTAAATTCAATTATATGTTGACCAACAGAAGATGTTTAAATTGAATTAAAAACAGAAGATGCTGGAAATGCTCAACAGGTCAGGCAGTATCTGTGAAGAGGATAATAAAATTACCGGACTGGATAATGGCTGCCCTCTGCTGAGTGCGTTTTTAATGTGAGGGCACATAACGTAGGTTGAGTGGCCAACTAACCATCTTCTCACCCTACCCCCCTGAGCTCACTTCCATAATATCAAGGGTGGGGCAGGTGCCAAAATCAGCAACCCACCCACCAAGTGCAAGCAAATAATTAATTAATGGATTAATGAAGCTTGTTAAAAGTTCAACTGACTCCATTTTACACCCCACACACCACAAAACAGTTGGCAAGGACAGTTGTAGTGGGGGATAAGTTGTAAAATGAAAGTGAGTGAGGGTGTACTATTTTCTGAAGGTGCCCTACGCACATTGATGGCACACCCCACCCACCCCCCCCGACCTGTATATTTAACTTCATTTCTTTTCACAGTTCCCAGGTATTGACAGTACCTTCTATTTTTACTTCAAATTTCCAGCATTTTCTGTATTTGATCTTTTTTATTCAATATTTGAACAGAATGACTTGAACGTTCTTGGTCACCTGAGTTGGCTAAGTAAAAAATCCACCATTTCAGAACTATATCCAAAATAAACTAGGACATGTTTCATTCATTATAAACCCATATGCACCAGATTTAAAGAAGTCAATACCATGCTGACCCTTAACGCTCATGTTTTCTTTCCACACAGTCCCCTCTTTTGGGCTGAAGAGTTTCCAGAGAATGAAAAACAAGATGCCCTTAACATACCACATTGATATCAGCATGAATCAATCGCAGTTCTTCTACATGAGCCATCTTCTCTTGGAGCAGAAGATCCATTTCGTGTTTATAATCTTTCAGGTGTCTTTCTTCAGACTCGAGGGCATCAAATTCTGCCTTCAATCTTGTTTTAATTTTTTCCATTTGCACCGTCTTAGCTCTGCAATTTTATATAAACAAATTTAAGGCAGCATGTTGCTGAGATCCAAACTCTTGCTTTTGGACAGTGCCTCCACAATTTGTTTTCACGGGATATATGTTAAATTACTACTTGCTATGTTGAAGTAATTCAATGTCATTAATAACTTCAGTCTTTATTTACTGAGGCAATAAAATAATATTTGAAGAACTCTTGAGCCCAGGAGAAATCCATTTGATTAAACTCGTGATACTGAAAGGAATGACAGTGGCTAAACAATGGCAAACATTCAAAGGGAAAAAGGGTGAACTACAAAATTTGTTTATTCCTGTCTGATGCAAGAGTGAAAAGGGAACGGTGGTCAAACTATGCCGTGCAATGACAGTTAGAGCTAGTATTGGATCTAAACACAAGGCAAATAAATGGGCAAGCAAAAACAATAAATCCAAGAATTGGGAACAGTTGGGCAAGTAGAGTATGAGAGTAAGCTTGCACTGAACATGAGAACTAACTGCTAAAATTTCTGTAGGTGTGTAAAAAGAAAAAGCTTGGTGAAAACTAATATAGGTGCCTTACAATGGAGGAATTTATAATGAGGAACAAAGAAATGGTCGACGAATTTAACACATACCTCACTTCTGTCTTCACAAAGGAAGACACAAATAACATACCAGAAATGATGGAGAAACACAGAGTTTAGGGAGAGGGAGGAACTGAAGCAAATATGTATTAGTAGAGAAATGATGTTGGAGAAATTGGTGGGATTGAAGGTTGATGGAGCCCCAGGGCCTGATAATCTACATCCCCGGGTACTTGAAGTGGCCCTAGAAATTGTGGATACATTGGTGGTCATCACCCAAGATTCTTTAGACTCCGGAACAGTACCTACGGATTGGAGGGTAGCTAATGTAACCCCACTATTTAAAAAGGGAGGTAGAGGAAAACATGAAATTATAGACCAGTGAGTCTGATTGCAGTCCTGGGGTAGATGTTAGAGTCCATTATCAAGGATTTTACAGCTGAGCACTTAGAAAACAGTGGTAGAATCAGACACAGTCAGCGTGGATTTACAAAAGGGAAATCAAGCTCGATAAATCTACGGAATTCTTCGAGGATATAATTAGTAGAGTTGATCAGGGAAAGCCAATGGATGTGGTTATTTGGACTTTCAGAAGGCTTTCTATGAAGTCCTATATTAAAGAGATTACCATGTGAAACTAAAGCACATAGGAATGCGAGTAGTGTATTGAGATGGATAGAAAATTGGTTGAGCAGACAAGAAACAAATAAGTTTTTTTTCCTGAATGGCAGGCAGTGGCTAATCAGGTACAGCAGGGATCAAGAGTACGACCACAGCTATTCATAAAACATGTGAATGATTTCGATGAGGGAACTAAACGTAATACAGTAACTCAAAATTTGCTCAATGGCACAAAGCTAGGTGGAAGAGTGAGCTGTGAGGACAATACAGAGATGTTGCAGTGTGATTTGGACAGGCTGAATGAGCGGGTAAATGCAAGGCAGATGCAGCACAATGTGAATAAATATTTTGGTAGCAAAAATAGGAAGCCAGATTATTATTTGAATGGCTGTAAATTGAAAGAAGGGGATGTTCAATGAGACCGGGGTATCCTCATGCACCAGTCACTGGAGGGCAGGTGCAGCAGGTCTTCATAGCAAGAGGATTCAAGTACAGGAACAAGGACATCTTGCTGCAATTGTACAGGCCACACCTGGACTTTGAGTGAAGTTCGGTCTCCTAGGCTGAGGAAGGATGTTCGTGCTATAGCAGAAGTGCAGCAAGGGTTTACCAAGTTGATTCCTGGGATGGCAGGGCTGACGGATATGAAGAGATTGAGTCAGTTAGGATCGTATTCACTGGAGTTTAGAAGAACGAGGGTGAGGATCTCACTGAAACCTATAAAATTCTAACAGACTAGACAGGTTAGATGCAGGAAGGATGTTTCCTATGCTGGGGAAGTCCAGAACCAGGTGTTATAGTTTAAGGACAAGGGGTAAACCTTTTAGAACTGAGATGAGGATGAATTTCTTCACCCAGACAGTGGTGAGCCTGTGGAATTCAATACCACAGAAAGTGGTTAAGGCCAAATCATTACATGTTTTCAAAATGGTGGTAGATATAGCTCTTTCAGCTAAAGAGATCGAGGGCTATAGGGCAGGCAGGATTAGGGTACTGAACTCAACAATCAGCCATGATAATACTGTATGGCAGGGCAGTATCAAGGGGATGAATGGCCTACTCTAGCTCCTGGGGTGGCACGGTGGCTCAGTGGTTAGCACTGCTGCCTCACAGTGCCAAGGACCTGGGTTCGATTCTAGGCTTAGGTGACGGTCTGTGTGGAGTTTGCACGTTCTCCCTGTGACTGCGTGGGTTTCCTCCGGATGCTCCAGTTTCTTCCCACAGTCCAATGATGTGCAGGGTAGGATGGATTGGCCATACTAAATTGCCCATAGTGTGCAGGTTAGGTGGATTAACCATAGGAAATGCAGGTTACATGGATAGTGTAGGGGGTGGGTCTGGGTGGGATGCTCTTTGGAGGATCGATATGGGCCAAATGGCCAGCCCCCACACTGTGGGGATTCATGACTATCTTCTATGTTACTGTAAATTGGCAAAATTGTGACTGCTGACCACATATTATACTTGAGCAACCTAACTTCAACGCCAACACTCTCCCAGAGAGAGGAACTCTCCTTAAGTTCTAGCACTTAGCATTCAAACCAGAACAGGCCATTATGATGCCTCTTTTTAAAGAGAAAGCCAGCTTGTTCACTTTCTCACTTTGCTACAAAAATGAACTTGATCAAATCAAAAGAGACGAAGTTAGTTCAGGGGACAATGGTCTTCCCTAGTTATTTATTTCAGAACACTATGGTCTATTAGTGACAGAAGTCCACATGACTGCCCTTTTAATTTTAATTTAATAAACAATTTCCTATTCATGACATCCTACAACTGGAACTGGCTGCTGATTAGCAAAGGTAAATTAATGCCAGCCAATCACTCTTTTGGTAGATTGTATATGAACTGATGTAATTTTCAGGTTAAAGAAAAATTGCATACTATATAATTACCTTTACTTAGTCAGCCAATGTATTTGAGTCACTTAGACCTGCTCATAAATAGCAGCATGATAGCAGTGCAAAAATCAGCCTCCCTCAGAGATGCAAACTCAAACAATGCAGTTGGTTTGGAAATTCTTAATTAACAACTTTAAATACACAACACATAGGAAAAATATTACATCTTTATTATCGATCTTTTTCCTACCACCAACGCCTCAGGTATTTGGAAAAGTTGTGACATGCTATCATGGAACTATAGCTCCTAAGGTGTGAAGTAAAATTATGTTGCCATGATGCACCTCTCACACAGATCATATTTATCAATATGAGCTGAAGCATCCCAACATCCACAGCCCAAATTAACCTTTGAGCACATCCCTGAAAGTAGAGACAAAAAGTAGGTCCATGTTGCAGAAAACATTGTTGGCAGCAGTTATAACAGTAAATAAACAATCTTATAGGATAAATCCTGTCTATGCAAACTGATAAAACCGTTAAGGAATTCTAGATAGACATAACCTATCTACATTCCCTTGCAGATTTTTCATGACCTCATTACAACATGCTCTCCCACTTTTTTTTGTATCATTGACAAATTTTGATTCATTAACACTGTCCTCCTCCAAGCCATCATACAGATAGTAAATAATTGAGACCATACAACTGATCCTTGTGGCACTCCACTAGCTACACCTTTCCAACCTAAAAATGACCCACTAACTCCCTATCTTTTGTGTTTTAACCAATCATCAATCCATGCTAATGCATTATTCCCACTATTGTGAGCTCCTATCTGATGCAATAACCTTTTACATGGCACCTTATCAAATGCATGCTGGAAATCCAAATACATTACATCTACCATTTCCTCTTTATTAACTCTGCTTGTTATATCCTCAAGGAATCCCACCAAATTTGTCAAGCATGATTTATTTTTCATAAAGCCATGTTGACTGCATTTGATTGCATTGGGTATTTCTAAATATCCTGCTATTTCTTCCTTAATAATGGACTCTAGCATTTTCCTAATGCCAGTTGTTACGCTAAGTTCTCTATAAATTCCCAATTTCTCTTTCTCTCCCTCTTGAACAGGGCATTAGATGGGTACATGACAGAAGAAGGAACACAAAGCTATGTTTAAAAGGTTAGATGAAGAAGGTGGATGAGATTGGTGTAGAGCATAAACATAAGCATAGACCAATTTTGTTGATGTTCTATACATTCCGCATAATTTTAGGTGAGCTGACTTGAATGAAGTAGGAAAATGGTGCCTGATCAAGAATTATGTGAAGAATACAGTTAATTGATTTTCTGTATTGCAAATTATGTAAATGATAAAAAGAAACAAACGAAAAAGAGTACCCTTCAAGTCATTACTAAGTATTATAGTGTAGTGCTTAGTGCAATTAAGTGTTTTTGAAATGTAGTCATGTTGCAATTTAAGTAAAGTTGACAGCCAATCCATCACATAATAAAGAAATAAATGACTAGATAACAAGGTGCAGGGCTGGATGAACACAGCAGGCCAAGCAGCATCATAGGAGCAGAGAGGCTGACGTTTCGGG